AGTGACCATGGAGCTTCCCCTTGCCCCTGGCTGTACGTGGTTCAAAGGGTGGCCTACAGCTTGGTCGGGTCCAAGCTTCAGCTTGTAGGGTGGGGGGCTGTCCCCCATAGGCGTGCGACGGGGGAGGATACAGAGGCCAGTCTGGCTCTACCATGTAGCCCTTGTGTTGTTCCAGGGTCAGGGGCTGTAAGGGAAGAGGAGGGAGGGCAGGCTAAGGAGCCCCACCCTGCAAGGCTCCTTCCCACCCCTGATCTCAGGTCTCTCTAAGGACAGGGGGTGTTCTTCCCTCCATTTAACAAGGGAGGGAAGAAACTTGCCCCACATCACACAGCAAGTCAAAGGGTCCTGCCTCCATGGAGAGAGGGTAGCCTCATCCCGAACTACGGAGCAACTCTCCCCTCTCCCTCCTCCAGGCCCACCCACTGGCCCCACCCACCTGGAACTTGAGGTGCTGGCCAGGAGCAGTCACCAGAGTGGAACAACTGAGCCACAGCATCACCAGCACAGAGAGGAAGAGGCAACAGGCCAGGATCCAGCGAGGAAGCCCCGAGCGCCTACGCAACACGGCAGGTACACTCAGTGACCCTAGTGGGGTCTGGGAACCCTCCCCTCCTGCCCCAATCCCACCCCAGGGTCCTGCCACCCACCGGGACATGCAGCTGAGGAAGTCATTGTCCTGCAGCTCCTCAGACTCCACCTTGACCTTGCTGCTGGTCCTGACTCGGATCTTGGCCTTCCTTACCTTGTCCAAGGGGCCTAAAGGGTCTGAGAGACAGGTTGTTCCTCAGTGGCTGCCAGGCCTTCCCTTAGAGGCCACAACAGCCACTGAGAGGAGAAAGGAGGTCAGGACCTGGAGGTCATGGAATCCTGGAACAGATCAGAACCCTGGGAGATGGACCAGGAAACCCTGGGAGATGGACCAGGAAACCCTGGGAGATGGACCATGAAACCCTGGGAGATGGACCAGGAAACCCTGGGAGATGGACCAGGAAACCCTGGGAGACGGACCATGTAACCCTAGGAAAAAGACCAGGAAACCCTGGGAGATGGATTATGGGACCCTGCTAATCAGACCATGGAACCCCAGGAGTTGAGACAGAAATCCCAGTCCTAGAGGGTTCATTTGCCAGCAGGACTCCTTATGAGTGGAGCTACCCATGGAAGGAACACTGGCCTCGGCTCAGACCTTACCTACGTGTACCTCCAAGGCCTCAGGATGAGATCCTCTCCAGGTCACCTCCACTCGCTGCAGACGGGCCCCCTCATGCCCTAGGTTCTCTACCATGGGCTGGGTCTGGAGCAAGAATAAGACAGCACAGAGAAGGTCTTTCCAAAGGCACCACCTCAGTTCTGGGAAGCACCTTCCTGTGCCCCACATGTGCCCCACGCCCAGCTGGCACCTAGTCCCACTGGGTGTAGGAAGGACAGTCTTCTGTGGGGCTATGATGTCAGGGATGTTGTACCCTGCTATTGTGAACCCCGCAATCTGTCTTGAACCCAGCCTCCAGCTCCTGAAGAACATAATCCAGACCAAGACAGTGAATCACCGGGTTGGCTGAGAGGTGGGGTCAATCGGTGTAAAACCCTGCTTAATTAAAA